ATCAAGACGTCTGGGAAGGAGGAGCTTGCAGACGCCTGCTCATCATCATCTTTGTCCATCTTTCGAAGATGGCTTTTGGTGCCCTGCATGGTAGGGCCACCACATGAGAACCCGCCTGCTATTGTGTAGAGTGGCTCCTTGTCGGTATCCGAACTACTAGCAGGCTGGGGGGTAGTCTTGGAGGACTGACCCTTGCTCTTCTTCTTTGCCCTGGCTGGGGACTTAGAAATGTAGGACTTTAACATCCCCTTGTCAGCTAGACGGTCCAACGCCCGTTGAAGGCTGAAGCAGTCGTTGGTGTCATGGCCAACTTCCTCATGGTATTGGCAATATTTGCTCTTGTTCCTTGATTGAATGAAACTTTTCATTGGATTCGGCTTCTCAAGGGACAACCGGTCCTTAATTTCCATGAGGATGGAGTTGCAGTCCTTGTTAAGCTCGTACTTAGGGACATACGGTTTAAACTCTTTCTTTCTCTTCTGGGACGGCTGGTCAGAGTCATTAACCGCCCATATTTCTTTTCTTTTCTTGCTCTCTTCTTTATTTTTGGTCGGCTGAGCAGGCCGGCTATCTTTCTGCTTGTCGGACTTCTTGGAGTCCGACTGGTTACTAGGCGAGCAGAGGTCGGTTGCTTGAATATAGCTTTCCGCCTCTCTCAGGGCCGCCTGTAAAGTGAAGGCCCCTTTTCTGACTAGATCGAACTTAAAGGTTGACCCGTCTCTCAGACCCTTAAAAAAGTCTGTAAAAGCTACCTCATCAAACGGTCCTTGAATCTGAATTCTGATCAGATTGAACCGCCTGACATAGGAGCGCAACCCTTCTCTCTCTCCCTGCTTAATGGTGCTCAAGTCAAGACTTGTTTTCTTAGAAGGGATGTTCATTGAGAAGTTGGAAGCAAACAGGAAGGCGAGCTTCCTGAAACTGTCAATGGACCCGGCTGGCAAGTTGTCAAACCATTGTTGGGCAATGCCCTTCAATGTAGCCGGGAAGCATCGACACCAAGTGGCATCATCCAACCCCTGTAAGTACATGAGGTTGGTGTATGCCATGAGGTGATCTACCGGGTTGGTGGTACCATCATAGGTACGTACCAATACATTCTTAACCTTGGCCGGCTGTGCCACCTCGGTTATCTCCTGGGTGAACGCAGAAGGTTGTTCACCCAGACGAAGAAGACGGAGCTGCCAGTCCAGTGGCTGGACATTTTGATATGTCGCCTGACCTCCGAAGAGAGCCGGCTGCATGAAGTGAGGGGGATACTGACCGTAGACCTGAGTAGGTACATACGGTACAGTTCCAATCATCTAAGGGCCAAAATAGACGGTATTTCCGCCTGTCTGACTCTCATGCAGGGAGAGTTCATTCCCTGCATAGGTGTTGTTGAAGCTGTCAGGAAAGTTCGACGTGGAAGCCGACTCAGACAACTGCTGATTTCTCTTCCGGTTGATGATTTCACGGGCATCAAGAGATGATTTTTTACTTCCCACCGGCTGTTGAGCCCGACGCGTATTATTGGTATTCCTCTTAGGAAGAAGAATTTTGGACCAATCAATGGTCCCGGCTGCCTTCTCCTTTGGATGGGGAGTTGGCTGCCGATCTTTGACTGACTTCCCCTTTTTCAGAGGAGTCTTCTTGGCCGTCTGACCCCTACTTGGGCTAGCCCGACTCTGACTGATCAGTTCTTTAATTTCACCCTTGAAACTTGTCATGAATCTCATGAGTTCGTCTCGAGTGACAGGTGCTGATCCAGCTGCCGTGTGGGTTTTCCCTTCCGGCTGCCCAGGGGGTCGATTTGTACCCGCCTGGGAGGTACCCCGCTCCAGATTGTATCTGGGCCATATGCGCTTGATTCTGAGAGAGTCATCATCGGCTATAAAGGTTTCGACTTGGGGATCTTCATCCTCCTGGTCTGTAAAGACTTCTGGGTCATCGCCCAGACGATTAGGGGGTACAGACTCTTGAACCATCTTCGAGGTACTCTCCCCACAGACGGCGCCAAATGTTTTGGGTGTTTTTGTCCCTCGGGAGAGTTACAACACGAAGACTGATTCGGCGGGAGTTGTACCTGCAAAACAAACGGAGACACCAGTTGGTTGGTGCTCCGCCTCCGACGAACAAGTTAGTAACTTGAAGGGAGAGAAAAAGGTGCGGAAATTTAGGTGGGTCTCTGCTCGGATTCCAAGCTCGGATGTCTTTATCACGGGGACAATTTGTAATAAATGGTAAAACGTGCCTCCTAAAAGAGGGGAATCTCCCTATTTATAGGGTCATCGGGATTTGTGCCCCTGATTAGGTCACTGAACCCTAATCATTGGTGGGCTGCGCCGCATTGGGGCTTTCTCAGGATTTGGGCCTGAAGGCCGCCATTCCTCCTAGGTTTCTGGAGTGACACGTGTCAAGCAGGGATAGGTCTCCGTTTATCTTTCTGGTATACTTTTACTTTTTTTTTTTAACTTTATTAATACCCGCGAAATCAACCCAAAAGGGTCGTTCTTTAGGACGGAGGGAGTATAAAATAGGAAATAAAAACAAAGTTAAAAGTGGAATACATCCAATATGAATATATATTTTTGAAACGCCAAAAATAGTATATGAGACTAACAAACTAAAACGGAGGGAGTACTATATATATGGTTCATTCATTCATTCGGTGAAAATTCTAATATCCCTCTTAATGCAATAATGTAGTCTTGATCTTATGATGTTCCATATTGCTCCAAAGAAATGAGTATTCGATTTATATACTCAATGTATCATTCAAAGTAACCATTACTTTCTAAACGTACTATCATTATTTGAAATAAAATGAATTACATTCATCTTTTGTTAAGACTTAACATTGTTGTACTAACTATTGACATGTTGTGCTATCATTGTCCCAAAAAAAAAAAAAAAACCAAAAAGTTGTACTCCGTAACAAATAGTGCTTTTAAATACTACTCCCTCCGTCGCTAAATTATATTCTTTTTTGGAAATTTATACGGGAATTAAGGAGGAAAGAATAAGACAAATAACAATAATTAGATAATGCAATGAGAAGTACAAAACATTAAATAATGTTTTTGAGTAAAACAAAGATATATTAGTGATTACTCATGAGTCATGACATGTCATCAATTCTTTGGAAAAAAAGGGACCAATCATATGCTCCTAATTGAAAATTTTTAACCAATCACATTCGTTGTAATTTGGCACAAGGATTTTGAAAAATTAGAGGCTAAAAAGTACATTAGCCAACCAAACATTAAAAGTAGAATGTAAATACATTAATTATACATTAAAAGTACAACTGAAAAAGAGAGTGCATTGAGGATATTTAGAAAAAAAAACTTACTAAAAATAGAAAGGTGGAATGTAATTTTGGAATACCCAAAATAGAATAGAGGAATGTAATTTAGGGACGGAGGGAGTACGTAATTTTTCTGTTTTAAAAATTGCACTCTGTACAATCTACTATAAAATAATATTAATTTATACATTAACTAAATTGTAGGGAAAAAGATCAATGTATATTATGACAAGTATAATTAAATTGAACATGATAATATTTTTTGTTACATATATAGTAAGAATGATTTCCTTAGCCATTTATATTCTCTAATGTAAGAAAAGGATGACAACATATTGTGAATTTTGTAAAGCCATTACAAAGAACGTTTTATCTCTAAAGGTGACTAAGGTACAGTCTTCTCACTCGAAGATTATTTATCTCATCTTATTAGTAATAAGATTATCTTATACTTTGTATGAACTTATTAGCTCTTATCATATACTGGGCTTGTTTAGTTTTTAGTTTTAGTCTCATGACTTTTGGCTTTTTATTTAGGAAATTTTGTCAGATAACACCTTTTAAGTGTGATTTGTTGTGAGAAAACACCTTATAATTTTTTTTTTTTTTGTGAAAACACACCTAATACCAGAAATTATTTGTAAAATAACACTTAAGGGTGGTTTCAGGCATGTTGATTTGGTTTCACGGCGTTGACTACCATGTGTGAGTCACGTGCGCCGATTTACCCCCCTCCCTTCTAATTTTTTACCCTTTCTTTCCTTCCAACTCTATTTTCTCTCTCCTCTCAATTTCTTTCTTTCTCCTCTCAATTGCTTCTCTCTGTGTTGCTGCTCACATCACCATTAAAAGCTTCTGGAAGTTGCTTGGCCATGGTAGTGACGAATTGAATGCTTCAATTCGTGGTTTAAATTCGGCCAAAGAATTGGGTAAGTGTAAAGATTTATCTCTCCTCTCATTTGTTACTCAATTTCTGTTTGAGTATTTGCCTAAATTTCTCTGTCCTTTTCTTTGTGTCTGCCATGGGTTAAAAAGGGAAGCCTCGACATTACTACTACCTCCATCCTATAGAACATTGCTAAGATTAATTGACCCCCAAATAAAGAACCCTAATTCCAATTTAAAACCCTAACTTACGATGATTCGCAAAATCAACAAAATTAATGGAATAAGTCTTTAATTAATGCTACTTACCTAGCTGCCTCGTAATTATGACAATTAAGTATATTTGCAGAAATTGGATCTCAAATTTGGAGTTCACCTTCTTCAAAGGGGAACAATGGAGTTTGGGTGGAAAAGCAGGGGGGTTAATTGGGGAAGAAATTGAGAGGAGAGAAAAAATAAAGTTAGAGGGAAAGAAAGGGTAAAAAATTAGAAGGGAGGAGGGTAAGTCGGTGCACGTGACTCCCACGTGGTAGTCAACACCGTAAAACCAAGTCAACGTATCGGAAACCGCCTTAAGGTGTTATTTCACAAATAATTTTTGGTATTAGGTGTGTTTTCACAAAAAATATTTTATAAGGTGTTTTCTAACAACAAAACACGCTTAAAAGGTGTTATCTGACAAAATTTCCTTTTATTTATTTATATCAAACAACTATTTTTATGTGTTTGGTGTGACTTTTTCTTTAGCTAAAAACTCGATTTTTCGTCAAAAGCATAAGAGTGGCTTTTTTTGCATTTGTTTTTATTGTTACTAAATACTACGAGTAATTACATTTCTATCCTAATTTACACCCCCTCACCTTCCTCTTCCCAATGTCCTTAAAAGATCATTTTATATAAAAACAGCCAAAAACTAACAACCAAATTTACCAAACGTATCTATTAAGAGCCAACAGTCAAACAACAGACATAATAAGTCAATACAATACAAACCATTGGTTGGATCAATTAGGAAAACAACAAGCATCCAATTGCCAAACAAACCCGTTTGTAAGATAATCTATTTGCCGTTTATCTTATCCGTTTACCATATCTACTATTTCTAAAATGCAAGATGCAAAAATATATTGCACAATTTTCTTAAAAAAAGTGATTATATCTTATCTGAACTTATTAGCCCATAAGACGTCATCTAAAATTACCGACACTACCCTTTATCGTGAAATTACGCGATCAAGAAAAGTGTCGGGCACCTAACATGAGGCCCCATCCATTCATCAAAGGCGGGCCCGTGATCACACCTTCTCTTCGTCCTCTTTCTTCCTTTTTTCTGGGTTTCTCTCTCTTTCTCTCTCTCTTCATACCATCTGCTACAGAAGAACAGGAGCAGGGGAGCTAAGAAAAGGGCAAATCAAGCTTCTTCATTGAACCACCCCATTTATCTTCTTTCAGACAAACCAATACTCGATTCCAGGAAGCGCTTTTCCACTGATTTCATAGTCCTTCTTTACCTCAGGTCAATTTCTATCTCCTTGATCTCTTTTTTCTGCTAATTTTTTTAGTTTATTTTTTTATTTTTAATTGGTTTTCTGAGATGGGGTTTTTGGGATTTTTCAGGGCTTTGTGATCTGGGCCTTCCTGGAATCAACCAATGTTGTCAGAAATATCTGGAATTATCTAGCAAAATCTTTGGTTTTGTGAATTTATTCTTGTTTGAATGGGGTAAGTTCTTCTTCTATAAATCTGTTTAATGGGTTTTGATAGTAATTTCTGATTAAATTTTGTATAAATTTTGCCAATGCAGTGCATAATCGATTGATAATTTTTAATGCAAATATACCTCTTTTTGTTCTGCAATTACGTGGTTTTATGGATGCTAGCTTAATGGACTGAGGAATATATAATGTGCAACTTTCATGTGGAAGAAGAGCTTTTTGTTCTGCACTCACTTGATTTTTTTGAATGAAAAGTTAAGGGGTTTTTGGTTTGTATTATATTTGGGTTCCACATTATAGATGTGATTTATGAGTGTAAAAAATTCACCTTTAGGGTTCTTATCCTGTATTCTGATAAGATAACAATACTATTTGATTGTAAAAATAAAAAATTGGCTCAATTAATGTAGTGAGAAAGGAAGTTTTGGAACTTTATTAGGATTTTGATGGGATAAGATACTGTTGGAGAGCTAAAAGTGTGTAAAATTATCATATGTTGATGGATTGTTTGCAATTGGTGGAAATGGTTATCTCCAAATTATCTACTTTTAGTTATTCGAGGGATTTAAAATTGTGACATTTTAATCAAGTACCTATCTTGACCGAGGAAATAACAATTTAGGTTACTTTACTTAGCTCATATGATGATTAATTGTTTGCGATTGGTGGTACTGTTCCCACTTTTTGACTTTTAGTATTTACGGAATAGAAGTAGTGACATAATTATCAAGTATTTGTCTTAACTGAGGAAATAAAAATTTAGGTTACTTTACGTATGCTCATGGATGTAGGTTAAATATCAACTGTCAAGGCTCTTGGATGTGGGAAGGAGGATTGTTATTTGTGAATAAATGAATTTTCTTGATCTTCAGTTCCCTTGATGTTTAAATTCAGATCTTTGTTTGATTGGGAAAATTTGGATGGAAACAGAAGTAAAGGAAGTCTTTGGTTACATTAATTGTTAGGAAAAGGTAAAAGAGGGAAGTGAAGATATGTAGATATCCTTAAGAAGCACTCGTAGATTGGGAAATTGGATTGAAAGAATATCGGTAGCATTTGTCCTCTTTATATCCCATCACGTCTGTTACTATTAGCTAAGCAGACAAAGGAATCCTTTTGGTTCCAACCAATGAGACACTTGATAGAAATGCTACCTAGTGACCTCTCTTCTCTTCCTTAATTCCTTTTATTTGCTTTTCTCATTCTTTTGGTTCATTTTACTTATTGATTGTGTTTATCAACCAAACAAACTGTAGCATTTTGGTGGACTATGTGGTCTATGCTTTATGGAGCTGGCTGCTTATGCTGGACTTATCCTAGTATAAACTGTAAAGCTATGAGAATAAAGGAAACACAAGGATTCATTGCCTGATTCTGGAGTTTAAACTGTAATTAGGCCTCTTGCACATTACTGGAATAATCTCATCTTGGTTTGAAGTGCAAAGTTCAATAAGTATTAAAAGTTTCCCAATTGTCGCCAAGTGAATAGAATCGGCAATGTTACGGCATTATTCTGCAACTATGTCCGTCACACTCAGTGGTTGACCTAAAAGGGATGTAGTTGGATTAACTGATTAAGAAGATTCTGGATGGAGGAGGTGGATATTGAATGAGGTACAAAGGACCCAGGGTATTGCTGTTTTGTTATTAGGTGAAATACTGAAATCTCATCTCTTTGATGATGTGCATGTTAATGATGGGGAACATTCTTTAGTTGGAGAGACAGCCCTGTGATAAAGTTTGAGAGGATTGAGACACATGAAACCAGGTAAAGAAATGGTTAAACCCAAGTATGCTTCCATGTGTAGAAGTTCTATGTATAAAATTCATATATTTTTATAATAGAAAAATCAAAGCGTTTGATATTGATGTGCAGGATGTTGAACATTTTGGTTTATATTGGAAGATTTGCTCTTGGTAACTTGATGCTTAAGGACATCTTTGTGAGGAAATAATAAATTGAATTCCCTCTTGAACTAAATTCCTCGTGCTATCGAGAAATTTTGAGATACAATGGTTTGTTTGCCATCGTTCTCTACACATTTGCATGACCCCTATCTTAGGATTAACAGCTTGTTTGGATGGAGAGAAATGGAGGGAAGGAAAGGGGAGGGAAAGGAAGGGATGAGTTTTCCTCCATTTGGATAGCTAAAATGGGAGGTGAGGGAATTGGGAGGAAGAAAAATGGAAGGAAATTATTTCTTTCCACAATTAAGAAACAAATCTTTCCAAATTAGAGAAGATTTGGAAGGAAAACTGTACCAATCTCTCCAGCACTACTGTTTGTAGCCTCCACCACAGTCCACAGGCCATGTCATCTTCCATCTTCCGCCGCCATGTCCACCGCATCAATTGCCGCCATATCCAAACTTTTCTTCTCTTAATAAAAAATCGACCTTAAGAAATTTTGTTATCTGATATTGATTTCAAAGTATAAAAATTTCAAATGTTGTGATACAAAATTTTTGGTTTTGATTTACAAAAATTGATTTTTCATGAAATTTGGTTTTCTTTTCATTAATCAAGTTTCAGAAAATTGAGTTATGGTTCTTCAAAATTCGATTTTCTGGAATATAAAAGGATTTTTAATATACGAAAAATTAATTTTTAGAAAATATGTTATTTTTCTAAAATCAACATTCAGAAAATTTTATTTTGATTTTCAAAAATCAATTTTCAGAAAATTTTCCAGAATTTTATATTTTGAAATTTTGATATGTGAATTATTGATTTTGAAAATTTGAATGGGAAAAATTCACAAGAACAAGCAAATTCCCTCACTCTCTCTTCTTTTATTTTCTCTGTTATCCAAATGAGGGATTTTGTTTCCTTCACCCCTACCCTTCCTTCACCCTCCCTTCTTTCACCTTCCATCCCCTCCCTTTCCTCCCAAAAATTCTATCCAAACACTATGTGAGAGAAATCTTGGGAGAAGTGTTCATCAGATATTAGTCATATCACTCAGCATTTTTGGCCTTTTGCTGAGATTTGTGCTTAGAGAGACATAATAGAAACTATGAAAAACATTATATAGGTTGGGGGTAATGGGTTAGAGTAGTGTGCTTGATCACCTTTTAATGATACCTTGTGGATATTTTTTCGTGGAGCCAAGGATGCTTCTTAACCATGTAAAGAGTGATGGACAAAATGGTCAGAAGACTTTGTGCTCCATTGTTTTAAACGCAGTGTATTATTCATCTATTATACCATTGTTTAATGTACTAACTTCTAGCTCATATAACTTAAATTTACATAGATGATAAATTTTCTCAATTGTTTGATATAGATTAATCCATCTAAAAGAGACTCGCTGCAGGCTGATACTAAAGCAAAATTTTGAGAGCTAAAACAAGGAGAGAGAAGAAAAGGGGGTGAAGAAGTGTAAGAGAATGGTGGAAGGTAGAGCCCTTTGTAGCTCATCTTTATAGGCCTGTATATCATGTTGTTAGAGATGAAATCTAGAGTTCAATTGGGTGGCGGGGTTACTACAGGTTTTCTAGTAAACTTTGGCAACTGGCATAACTACGTTTACGCATATCAGTCTTATTCAACTTGACCTACTTTGTAGGGCAAGTGAATTCCTGATGAGAAAGTATATGGGTTTGACATATTGGGATGAGATTCTAATGTATGCTATACAGGTGCTCTATTCATTCTTTGTTGCAGGGGATGATCCCAGTTAAGATGCTGACAAGCACTTTGCTGCTGACATATGCTGATTTGATAAGCCAATGGAAAACAACTGAGGGGTTACAAACATGTCGACAAGAAAGTTGAATTTTAGAAATTTTTTTGTTGGTGGGTTTCTCTTTTTAGAGTTATTAGGTTAGTCTAATAGCTGGAATGTTCTGATTGCTGATAGCATCAAGCCAGATTTCGATCTCATTAACCTTTTTGAATACTGGCTTGATATATATATATATATATATATATATATATATATATATATATATATATATATATATATATATATATATATATTTATATATATATATTTTATCCACTTGAAAGCTCTTATAATTTTTAAAGGCTTATGTATGTTACATTGATACTCTTGATGACAATTGGCTTTTGGCTTTAATGTTTTTTGTGCCATTATGTTAGCCAAATGTGATTGATTTCTAAAAGCATATATGTTTTGTAACAGAGCAGTGGTTGCCTTGCATGTTTTATTAAGCCTGAGTCAATAGCATCTTTGGATGAGCGTCCAAAGGGCCTTATAAACCAAGGTCAAGAGAGAAGAGCACCCAGTATTTCCAGGGATTATTGGACCACAAGTGTGGGTGATATGGACAACAGTGCAATGCAGTCACAAGGAAGCTTGTCTTCAATCAACGCATCCTTTCAAGCCCCTGATACACCTGCTGGTGTCAGCAGCTCCAATCCGCCTTCTGAATTTGTAAACCATGGCAAGTTCAAACTGCAGTAAACATTTAATCTTTAAACTGAGTTTTATGAATATTAGAACTAGGATATCGATTGGTCTGATCTAGATTAACTTCCTTTGTTCCTTAATACCACAACATGAGGGGGGTTTATGCTTCCCAATTTAAACCCTAAAATTATCTTTAATATATAACGGTAAAAATTATGCCATGTTTATATTGGCCCAAATCTAACAAGAACTCACTTGATTATGTTTTTCTTACTCATAAATCACAATATGAGTTTTAAGAATAGTTTTTGAATGGTGCCTAAAGTACAAAAGTTGTAGTATCAAAGGAGCGGAGGAAGTATATGTTTGGCTTCTATTCCATTGGATTTGTTTACATATGGATGAGACTTATGTTCAACGGTTCAACCTTCTTTTGGATTTAGTTGTCGCATTTCTGTTTTGATTCATACTATCATAGAGACGGTTAATCTATCAAAGGGAGTAGGTTTTTATCTGCCTTCCTCTGTACTTGTATGTATTGCTGTTCTCTCTGTTCTGTAAATTCATATTATATAATAATCTTTTTGCTCTACAGTTGTAGTATCAGATCTTGTGCTTCCATTTAGCTGTTTCTGATTAAACTAATTAGTGCATTGCTATCTATGGAGGGTGATTGAAGCTTGTCAGATTGGCTTTTATCTTTTCTACATAGTTGCATTCTGTCTGAATTTCTTTTATATTCATTCTCATATTTTCTAATATGTTGTTGGCAGGTCTCCATCTCTGGAACCAGACCAGGCAACGCTGGGTAGATAATAAAAATCAAAGTAATAAAGGGCAGCAAGTTCGTGATCCAAAAATAAGGTTGGCTCACTATATTGTTTTGAATCTGTTCAAATTACTAGCTCTTCATTTTGCAAATTGCATGGTAATTTTGTTCTGGTTTTCTTTGATGTATTAGTAATTGAGTATGTTTCCCGTTTTAAGTTAATGAGGGTGTACCTATTCTGCATTTGTTGAATTTTAAAGGGTAGTTTCATTACATAATTGAAGCTTTTGAAAAGTTTAATATTGAAGCAGAGGATCAATAGCTTGTGCTGGAAATATTGAAAGAAATCTTTGGGACCAGTTATGGTAAAATGAGGGATTTTATTGGGTGATTGAAAATGTGGTTTATTGCTTGAAAGTTGTGGATCCTGTCAAACATGTTGTGTATGAATTTTTCAATAGTTATTAGGGGAAAGGAGGTCTGCAAAGAGAGGTGTGGCATAAGTTAGTAAGCGAAGGGATCAGCAGGTTTTCTAACTGGGATGGTTACTCAGTGTGTGGAACCTATCTTGTCAAATTTAAAGCTTTTTAAATCTCTTGTAAGATTTAGGGTGGAGTGTGACTATGACACTGGGATTTCATTTTTCATGATGTTTGACCTGCTGTATTAATAACTACTCGTAGTTTATACAAGCATATTAAAAATGTTAATGGTACACTGTGTTTGTTTAGTGAAGCTAGGATTGTTACGGGAGCTCTATTGAACTCCTGGCTCACTGCTGCCTGACTTTTGGCAGTACTTGGGTTACAGAGAATCGTTCCACTCTGATACCATCTGTTGTGAACGTTTTTACTTGGTGTGCTCCTTGTATTTCCATGTCTTCATGTCCCCTTTATATCATTCAAGTTTATCTTTACTCGATGTGTTGGAAGCTGGGCAAAACAAAAGATGTGTTCGTTGGTGGAGATTATGGTTGAACTATTGAAGGATAAACGGTCAAGGTGTAGAAGCTGGCTATTTTTTTTGAAAGAATATATAAATAATTTGAAGGTGTGATAGCTGATTCTTATGAGTTTTGACTAATTGGCGATGTTTGTTGAAGGAAAGTGCTCGGGATCATTTAGGGAAAATCTCTGTTGCATCTGGCTGTTCTTTACTTTAAATTGATTTTGTTCATATGGTTGTTTATGATTCGTTAACTTGAAGAATGATTGCTTTTGTTAATGGCCTTCCTAGTTTGTTTGGGGGTTTTTCGGTTTTATTAGGGGGGTGGGGGTGGTTTGCTGCCTCTTGGTCCATATGTGCAGAGCAGCCATCTCCTTTCATTCTTGCTGCACGGTGCTGTCCTTAAGGATCTAAATCCGTACCAATAATGCTCCTCCATCTGTTATCATTGCTTATTTGTTTTTCTGTTACGGAATACATCCTTTGAATAGTTTTTGATTTCCCCCCTTTTTTCCCCATTTCTTTGATCTTGTCAGCAACCATGATTTCAACGTACTTGATTCGTTCTGGCCTTCTTGCAGTTGGAACGCAACTTATGAGAGCTTACTTGGAAGTAACAAGCCGTTTGGTCAGCCAGTACCTCTCGCAGTAAGCCATATTCTTCATGGATTTGCATTTTAATGGCTTGAAAATTGTTTAATGATAACAAATCTTTTCGGCTAACTTCAGTTCTGCCAACTCTTTTCCAGGAAATGGTAGATTTTCTTGTAGATATCTGGGAGCAGGAAGGGATGTATGACTGACGTTTGGTGAAGCCGAGATCTGGGTAGGTAGTAGCATCAAGTGACAAACCCACTTATTGTGATCTAATTGCCTGAGATGAAAAGATAGAAATGCATTTGGGGGATAAACTTCATTTGTACCATTGTCGCGACTTTTTCATAATGCTTATTTAGGTTTCCTCATGTGCTGTAACTGGGTTTTAACTAATGGAACTTGCTGCTGTTTATTCATATGAATCATCTTTTGCCTGAATCTGTTCAATTGTTCTTCGAACGGAAGCTTCTAGTTTTGTGAGAGATCAAAATCATTATGATAGTGAATTACTCCCATCTCTTTCATAATAACCAGTTTGAATTATGAAATGAAAGTTGAAAGCTTGGAACATTTCAAACATGGAAGGTTACCTATAAAAACAATTTGATTTGAGATTATAGTGGCATAGTCGCGCAGACGAGTTTTTTATCTCGAAAAAAAAAAGAACAAAATCGAGATATATGGAATGTGACTATGGTGTAAAAAATTAGACAAGATTTCTCAAATGATCATGTCATATGGCAATGCAACTCTCTTACAACCCAAAAATCGTGTCATGTAGAATATGAAATCAAAGGAATGCATTATAATGTAAAATATTTGATGGAAACAATATGACTTATAAGTAATAAATAAAATTATGCACTATTCTGTAATGACCCGAATAATTTAAACCACTCGAATCAAATGATCCAAATGTGATTCGAATTTAACCTGTTGACCTGAATTGATTGGTCTAAGTATGTCAGTATGTGTAATAACAAGTGAAATAAACAAGCACATACTATGTATATGTACTAGTTTATATCAAATCGTTGCAAATAATATGAAATGGAGGTAGTATAAGAACATTAATAAGAAGATATGAATAGATTACAACAGTCTAGAGTACGAAAACTATTTAACTAAATAAAAGTAGTTCGAGAAACAACATGAAGGTTGTATTTAGTTCTAGTTAAAGTGATTCTAAACGACGTGTCATAATATCCAGAAACTTTCCGACACTTCTTTGATTTCTCTTTATATTCTCACCTTCATTTAACAGTCTCAATCACTAAATCTAAACCCCCCCCCCCCCCCAAAAAAAAAAAAAAAAAAAAAAACTAAAACGACATCGTTTTTACCCTGTCTCTTGAAAAAATGGCAGTGGCAAGACTAGCCTTGAAGAATTTGCAGCAAAAAACAGCTTCTAATATTCTAAATAATAATACTAATTTAATTGGGGAGAGATTGGGTGGAGTGCAAGTCCATGGTTGGAAGTATGGTCTTCTACAGAGGCTATCAACATCAGCTGGATCAGAGGGTAAAGAAGTGACTGTTCAAAGTGATGAAGGCGGTCGCAGCCGTAACATTGGTAGCCGGTGGAAGTCCTTGTTGCCTAGACCGTTTCGAAAGCCGGCTAGTCTTTGGAGGAGGAGGGATCGTGCTCGTGACACTCACCCTTTAGGTACTCCCTCTGTCCTAAATTATTATTTTTTTTTTTTTTATAAAGTGTTGTCTCTATTGTATACTCGAGTGTATATAATTACGTGCTTTATAGTGACATGTGTTGTACACTTGTGTCACGTTACATGTTCATGCTAGATATACATTATAGCATATTAACACATATATATGGCTCCAAATAAATTAGTACATACTTTCTTTGTATTTTTATTGTGTTAAGACTTCTCTTTTTATGTTTGTCAATTATGATTTTAATGTTTAATATCTTTAATTACCAATATGTAAAAATTATAAATATTTGATATTAAAATATAAATCGAGATGAATCTAATAAGATGTCACGTGATCATATTTTTGTATCAAAGTTAGTCAAAGTAAAATACATGAATAGTGTAAAAGTTAAACTAGAGGAAGTATATATCTTCATTAGGTGTACAATAGAATATATTTGGGTGACTAAACTTGTTGTGTACATACTTCTTGGTAGACTGAATTATCTTCAATTAATACTGATTGAAACACAAACTTAACTATTTCTCTGATCATTTTGCAGAAAATTTCACAAACCCTAGCCTAGGAAATGCATTATTAGAAGCAGCAGAAAACATGAACAGGCTATTTGAAAATGTGATACCAACCCATATGATGATGACACCACCCACACAATTCATGGGCAAGTTCAAAGAGACGGATGAAAGCTACAAGCTACGTTACGACATGCCGGGTTTAAGTAAGGATGATCTTAAGGTGACCGTCGATGATGGCGTGCTAAAGATTCGTGGAGAGCGAAAGGTGGAGGAGGAAGATGAGTCTGATGATGAGTATTTCATGAGTTATGGGTACTACAACACTAGCCTAGTTTTGCCTGATGATGCTAAACAAGATGATATCAAGGCTGAGTTAAAGGATGGTGTGCTCACTATTACTATACCTAAAACTGAGTCTCATGGAAAAGATGTTAAGGAGATTGAAGTTAACTAATTTGGGACTTTTTATTTTGGTTTCAAATAAATGAGTTATGTTTAATTGTGTATGATATGATGAAATAATGTTTATTGATGTTGAATTGTCTTAAGGTGGATGTTAAAATCTAATTCAATGTTCATCATGTATTTTTAAGTGTTATTTTGGGTTATGGATGTTACTCCATCTGTTTTTAAATACTTGTTCCATTTTTCTTTTTCGGCCGTTTTTAAATACTTGCTTCATTTTTTTATTTGGAATGTTTTTACAATATTTAATTTATTTCTCTCACCTAGTGGACTTAACATAAATCATATTTTATTAATTTCATATTCTCTCTCCTCTCACTACTACATTTTTTATTAAATACAACGCCCCAAAATGAGCTATTGCAACGCCCTATCCAAATGTCGTGGCAATAGATAGCATATTGCAACGGTATTTTTATTGCCGTTGCAATAGAGTAGGCTATTGCCACGGAGTTAAAACTAATAATCTTAGAGGTAGAGCTATTGCCACGGCTCTAAAGAACCGTTGCAATAGCCTAGCTATTTTAACAAAAATAAAAGCTATTGCATCGGTGGTATTATATCAAATGAAAATTTTAGCTTAGATAAAGCGCGCATTGTTCCCTCTAATTTTTTCACCAAAATTTTGAACAAACACACGTGATGCATGTTTACCCCAATTTTCTCACCCAATTTTCTCACCCATTTTCGTTCTCCACTCATTCTCACAGACTCACAGTAGATTTCTCACCCAATTTCTCCATTTTCTCAATTTCCCCCAATTCTCCATTTTCTCAATTTCCCCCAACTCTCTATTTTCCCCATAATCTCACATTCAACTCCAGAAATTCACAGTACCTATTCTCAGAAAATCACGAAAAAAAATCAGTTAAAAATGAGGTCCAATCTTTCATTCTTCGCTGCCTCACACCTCAGTCCTCACCGGCCTCCTGTAGTCTAGTAGATCGACCGTCGCCCATGATCCGTCGTGCCTCAGTGCCTCACAGGAACTCAGCCGTCGTTGTTGCCACACCGTCGGCCGTCTTCGATGCATCAATGGTATGTCTTAATGTCTTATACTCTTAATTAATTAATTTAGTATATCTTGCTCTTATAATCGAAATCCTCAATTTGAAATTTTGATTGTTAACCCTATTTTTCAGATTTTAATGTTTCAATTGTAATAATAAACAAGGTCAATTGCTTATTATTCGATTTTAATCCCCAATTTTAATCTTCGTTTTTTTTGTAGTCTTCTTCTCCTTTCACCCTTTTATCTCTTTCCTTCTAATCTTCACAAAAATCAAGTACCTAATTCTTCCTTATTATTCTCTATTTTGATTTTTCATGTAATTTTTTTTTTAATTTTGATTGTTATATGCAGTGGTTTTTGTTAATTGTATAACTTATTTATTATAAATTTGTTGTCTTGATTATTATTTGTTAATTTTAATGTTCATTAGAATTTTTTGATGAAAGTTGCAGTTTCTGGTATTTTTCGTGATTTACTGTCGAGTTTTGAGTCTATTTGATAAGCTCGTTGTCCTATAGCTTTCGAATTCTATGGGATTATAATGATATAAGTATCTGGATGATAATACTATACTTATTGGTGGTGCATAACTTAAGTATTTACAGAATCTATTTCTATGTTCTTTTATTTGTCTACATTATTTCACAGAATCTCTGAAACAATAGGGATTAATAAATGTCGTAACTTGGTTTTATGAAGATAAATTAGATCCCCCCCTCTTCTCATGCCTTTTCCTTGATTAATCCTATAATTAATACTTATTGCCACTATTATTACATAAGGAACATTCTGTGAGCAATTAATGATTGAAAAGGAACATTTTGAATGTAGTAGGCTAATGCAGTGGTTTAATTTGGTGGAGAAAAGGAAGGGTCAGGAAACAAATTGTGGCACAATTGGTGTAAGGAATAGGTTTGATCCCTCTATTTTGATGTGGATCTAGTATATAGGGTATTATTGGATTATATTATATCTTTAGAATATCTCCGTGCAATGAGTTTTAGTAGTAGATTCACTAAATTGTCATACAGTGAATGTGATGCAAGGGCAGGTTTACATTTGCAAATTATAGTGTTTTCACGATTAATTATCTGATAGTGTATTAATTGTGGTTGACAAGTGTCGTTGTTGGTGGACTTGCTAATATCTGAAAATACAGAGCTAGCATCAGGTTCTTGTCACCTTATTAATGAAATTGTAATGAATTCTTCCGTTCTCCATTTCACTTATATTTTTTAGAACCAAACTGCTGGGAATGCTTTAACATTCACGAAGAGTTTTTCTTTTCTTACTACCACATATCATATTATATCCTTTTGAGCTTTTAAACCAATACCTATTCATTTGGATATTATGCACTATTTCACTATATTTGTGTAAGCTGTGTTTTAGATATGTTTTCCCTGACTCTATAGTGGCCACCCATGTATGGTTTATTCTTGCTCATGTAAGTCCTGATTCTTTCACCATCTTTTAGTTTAATCTTTTGAAGATGCAACATTGATATATACATATTTAACCTTTATCTCTTGACTGCCAAAAACCATTCTTCTCAAAATTTGGAGCCATTGTTACAATTTCTGTTCTTGGAACCTTTAAAGCCTCAATTTTTTTCTAGCCTTCTGGTGTAGGCATCTTTTGATCTCCTTTACCATCTGATAATGACTATATTGCTATGTGGATTTGCTTATGACTTGAACTGCCGTTGATTTCTGCTTTAGGTATCTTGATGGGGTCACATATCTTATATAAAAATTCCCATTTGTTGAATGTTATAATGTTTGGAGCACTGATAATATCAACTGATCATATCATTGTTTTGGCTGATAACGGCACAGACGGTCTCAATTTCATTGTTGCATGTCCCTTCCTTAAGCTGATTGCTCGAAATTCTGTTCAAAGTAAACAACGAATTTTCGTTTTTGAGAATTAAATTTGAAGTTTTGCTTTTGTGTTTGGGATGAAGTTGAATATTGATTTGGGGTGGCTGATTTGGTTCATTCATAGGGTAAGACTTTAGAGATCTAATTTTATTACTTTTTTCTAATTGCTATATCCATTGTTCAAGCTCATGTGCGTGCTTAGGTTATTTAACTTATTAGATAAGAATATATGATAGTGGGTTTTGGAGGGTTTAAGGAAAAGAAAAAGATAAGATTATTTTGGCTCCAACTATTGTGTTTCAGCCTATTTTCTTGAGTCATAAATATATAGCATTAATTTTTTCAATTCAGAGTAAGAGAAGCATTATTAAGTTGGCAGTAAACTGCAGAGGGAGAATCAGATCAGCTTACTAGAAATTCAGTAAATGCACAAATGGAAAATACATACAATTTTTTTTTTCTAAGAAAGGAACTAAATGGAAAGGATGTAGGCATTATTCTAAGTGGCCGTACGAATTGAATGTCATTTACTCAATACACTATGTAGCATTTGAAATGTAAGTGTTTAATTAATTAAGTTGGCTTTTTGACTTGTCAAGCATCATGCCAGTGGAGTCAATCTCTGAGTTTGTTTGGGATTGTTTGAACTATTTTGTTGTGGAGTCCATCTTTAATTTGGTTTGGGATTGTTTGAACTATTTTGTTATAACGAATGCAAGTAAATGATTCTGAATGACCCTTAATCACACAATAGTTACTTCCCATTCATAATACTATTAAAAGCACAGGCAATCATTCAAATCATATGCCTATGCATTATTAATATAAAATAAATTACAAAACACAAAAATTTAATTTTTTTTTTAAAAAAAAAACCAGTTTTTTCCGGTAATGCAACTGCTGCCCAATTTGAATAATCTTCTCAAAATGGGACTTGATAGTATCCTCCTCCATCGGTCTTTGCAGTTGCTGAAACAATTGTCTCGCACTGCCTTGAAAAAACCAAGTATGATACATTCAGAAAAAGCAGGCTTCAAACACCTCTAGGCTTTTTTTTATGTGTTTTCCATCTACATGGGGATTTTTTTTTGAATTTCCTGCCAAAGATTTGCTCCAATTAAGTTGCATCCTGTAGCTAATTTTGGGTCTAACAATCTAACATGCAAATTCTTCTATGAAAATGAGGATAAACAAGCAGATTAGATGGGCACTTTCCTGTTTTCAAGGCTATGAAGGTATATTGGATAGCTTGTGTCCTCCCACCGCATTGCAGTTTGGTTCCCATCTTCCTTTTTGGGTTGGTTTTTTTTACATGGGCCATGGGCCATTGGTCAAACCTTGTTAAAATAAGTAGATGTCTTAAGCTTAGCTGAACTACAAACCATTTTTCCGTTTCCATTGCATTCTAGGTAGGGCAAGATATATCTAGCCTTGCTTGTGTTATGGTGCATCTGGCAGTGAGGAGGTATGTGGCAGTCAAATGTAGGTATATGTACAATCAATACATAAGGTAATTTATAATATATTCAAGTGCTGCAATATTGTTAGAGATATTATTATACTTCGCTGATTATATTCTTGGTGGGTCTTTGCATTTTACATATCGTGGATATTATGAGATTTGGTATGTAAGATCAGTATGAAAGAAAATGGAGTTTCTTGAGAATCTATGTTTCTTATATGTTAGATTTTTGGTAGTGGAGCTGCTGGTTTCCCATTCTAGTGATTTTTAGGATTTATTACTTGAGATTTGTTAATCAAATGGTGATATGTTATTTGGGAAGAACAGTGGAAATTTCACCTACTGTTTGTGAGATATGAGTCTCTCTGCAGTCGTACGAATTCTAGCCTAAAATTTATTTAAAAACTCAGTTTTGTGGGAGAGTTAGATCTCATTTAGTAATAAGTATTCGATTTTTATTTAGTCAGGCTCTATGGATGATGTTTGTTCATTTGTTGTCATGTTTGCTCGAAATTCTTTGTTTAGAAGAATGTTAGCGGGTTTCACATCTCTATGAACTATAGGCGGGCTGCAACCATGATGCAAGTAATCCAGTCCTATATATAGAGTTACACAACAAATTTTAATATCCTGAGTGATCTGATAAAAAAATGTTGCCTAATTACGAACCTTAGTACTAAATTGCTTAGGGGCCTCAGTTTGAGAACACCTTGACTGCTAATGACATCCCAGAAATGGTGGCAACTTAGTTCACCTACATTGCATGAATCTGGTGCTTTTGATCATGTCTTTTGTCAGTCAGACTACTACTTAGTTCTATTTCTTGTTGGTTATTTAGCTAGTACTTTGTTATATTCTGAGGTGCTATTTTGTTTTTCAGACTTGGAATGTTTATCTTTTGGTAATGTGGCTACTGCCACTATAAATTAATAATATTTTCCTTTCTGTGTGTTAAAAAAAAAAAAAAAAAAAAAAAAAAAAAAAAAAAAACTTCTTTGCTGCCATCTTTTAAACAACCATCATCTGTGCGTTTTGAACTTTTCTCATGTTGATTGTGGCCTTGGTCTATTATAATTTATAATTTAGTTCAATTATATTTCTATTATTTTTTTCAATTTTACGTGTAGGTGCATGAGGAGTTAAATGGAGCGGAAGTATAGTGACTAGTCATCTAACAAAGGGTGCATATATGTTGGCGACTCTTATTCAAGTTCCGGCTTTGTGAAGATTTGGAAATTTCGGCTTATATATATGTTGACAATTTGTATTTTGGACGATTAAATTAATTATATAACTTTTATTTTTTATTAGTAGGGTATGTCATACCAAAAACAAGCAAGTAATATTTTGTAATGTACGTATTTCGCATTATAATTATTATATATAAATGATACTTTGATTTATTTCTGTTAGCATATTTTAATTTGTACTGACTAATTATACATATATTATATTACCATCCCATCCCAACAAAAAAAAATGATCAATCCGTTGCAGTATATACGTACTCTTATCATTGTATTAATTAGCTTCATCCGTTGCAATAGGTTCAATTTCATCATAATTATTAGTCAGTACTCTATTGCCACGGATAAGTTATGCCGTTGCAACATGTATTGGTCTATTGCCACGGATCATTGGTGCCGTGGCATTAGGTATCATATGCCGTTGCATTAGACCTACTGCAACGCCAGCAGATGCCACGGTACATGGCCGTTGCATTAGGCCTAATGCCACGGATTTTGACGCCTAATGCAACGGATTTGGGGGTTGCAATAGATCAAAAATGTAGTAGTGTCTAATTTTCCCCACTACTTTTGTTTTTTTTACAATTTTTTATTTTTTCACCTACCTCACTACCTCCATATTTTATTATTTTCTTTAATTAATTTCTCTTAAAACTCCGCGTATGGAGAAATGAAGCAAGACAACAAGTATTTAAAAACGGAGAGAGTACATTTTTGTTTTACTACATTAATTTGTGCACACGAAGTGAGATTTTGATTTCGAATCCAATCCAAAATTTGCAAGAAAAAATGTTGACTTGCATACAAAGGGATTTGTATTTTTCAATTGATTAAACACGATCTATTACTTTTTTTTTTGGACAAACGGTCTATAAATTAACTATAAAAAGTGTAAAAGAGCACGTGAGTAAATAAACCCGAAAATACACCTAATTTTATGTGTCCCTTACCTAGTACGGAGTACACAATAATATGGATTATGGATTATTTTTAAGACTTTCTTTTATCATCAAGAATTATTTTGTCTACCTGTATTATGAATCAAGTAAAGTGTATTACATTTCTTCAAAAAAAAAAAAAAAAGTAAAGTGTATTACAAGCAAGAGGTGGTCCCGAGAAAAGGGGAAGTCTTATTCTGTTGTTAGCGAAACCTGACGTACTGTGTGCTTACTTGATCAACAGTCACTGATTTAGCAACATGCCAGATTCCGTTTTCAGAACTCACTTTTTTACTGTAACCTCACAGTTTTTCTACTCATGTTATCATGTACGGATCCAATTTTAGTTAGTTCCTCAGAGCACCATTATTGGTGAACAAAAAAAAATGGTTCATGGGTCACTATCACCATTTCTCTCTCATCCACATCAACCCAACAAACCATTTACAATATTCACTCTTAACAATAAACACTAAACAATGGTTCATCATCAATACTCCCTACCCCACCTTATTTTATTTTTGTAAATATAATCTTTTTGTTTCATAATTATAATTTATTAACCGATGTCAATGTAATTAATTGACGTATTTAATATTTTAATCGTGATTACTAATTAAGAAATTATCGCGTTTTTTTATCAGCTTTTTAAAAAATTAATTCTTGTGATTAATATTTTTTAAACAACAACGCAGCTAATTTTAATTAACATAAAAAAAAAAGAGGTACAAATCGTGATTACAGTTCTACAACTATAATCTAGTACATTTTATTTAAAAAAAAAAACACAACTACACATCGTTTTGTAAGATGTCCTTAGGGATAACCATTTGTTGTAAACCTAGTTGCCTAAGTTTTCGTTGTTACCAAATTTATTCCATATATGTTCGACCAAGTCGTTTTTTAGCTGCAAATGAGTCTGTTGATCCTCAATCTCTGTTCTATGAGACAAGTATAAGCCGATATCCACAATACGATCAGTACGGTGCTCGGTAGTGTCCTCATTAGCGTTCCCTCCAGCATTCATAAACTCATTGGTATTAACGTTATTTTGATACGTCTCTCGTTCATCTTCAACGATCATATTATGTATTATGATGCAGGCGAGCATGATATTGTGGAGTATGTCGGTATCCCACGCCAAAGACGGCTTTTTAATAATGGCAAAACGAGCTTGAAGGACCCCAAATGCACGTTCAACGTCTTTTCTTGCAGCTTCCTGGTGTTTTGCGAATAAACGATCCTTATGAGTTTGTGGACTCGTAATGGATTTCACAAAAGAAGCCCATCTAGGGTAGATTCCATCAGTAAGATAATACCCATTCGTATAATGATGACCATTGACTACGAAGTTGACAGGAGGTGTCCGACCCTCTAAGACGTCTTCAAACACAGGGGATCGATGAAGCACATTAATATCGTTGCAGCTACCTGGCATCCCAAAAAACGAATGCCATATCCATAATAATAATAATAATAATAACAATAATAATAATAGAAATAATAATAATAACGATAATAATAACGATAATAATAATAATAATAATAATAATAATAATAATAATAATAATAATAATAACAACAAAGATGATAATAATAATAATAATAACAACGATAATAATAATAATAATAACGATAATAATAATAATAATAACGATAATAATAAAAATAATAATAATAATAATAATAATAACGATAATAATAAAAACAATAATAATAATAATAATAATAATATTAATAATAATATTAATGATAATAATTAAAAATAATAATAACAATAATAATATTAATATTGGTATAAATAATAATAATAATAATATTGGTAATTATAGAGGGGATTTTTGAAGAGAAAAATATAGTAGAAAAAAATGAATTTTGAAAGTTGAAAAAAATATATCAATATGGGTGTCTATTTATAGAGGGGAAAAAAATAGAGTCGTTGGTAATTTTTTTTTTTTGATTTGTATTTTGTAAAATATATCCGTTGCAAAATTACAACGGATATATTTAAAACAGTGCACACGTGTCAAGCAGCGGCTGGGCCAAGTGGCGCGCTCCCAGCCGCTGATTTCTATTTTTTTTTCTGAGCTTCAACAGCAAAACGACGTCGTTTTGCACCATGAAACAGCAAAACGACGTCGTTTTGCTATAATACCAGTCCAAAATATTGGTGGGGCCCACAGCGAATTAATTCATGGAAATGCTTGCTCCTGCAATCGAACCCATGACCACTCAACATGAACCATTAAAGGTTTGCCATTAAGCCACCACTTTATTTGTTTATTTATTGTGAACAATTAAATAGTTCACCCTTAAAGATGCCCTTAGAAATAATTAACTTACCAAATGTTTGGAATTTGGATAAATGGATAAGATAGCATAGAATTATAATGTCATGTTAATATGCTAAATTATAAAAAAAATTATCAAAGATACCAGTAACTAAATTATTTAAATATGTCAACAATAAAACACATCTAGGTGTGAATGTGTGATCATTGTATATCTTACTCACTATGATACATTAACTCATACTCGTACTTCGTATGTAACTTGAATGGTACGGAGTTTACATAATTTTTTTGATGTTCCACCTGGTTCACCCTTAGAGTTAATCCGGATTCGGGATCAGTTTTGGGTGGTTAGGTTCCAGTCCTCTCCCAATAATTGTTGTGGAGGATCAAACACAAGTTATCCTTACCAAGTGTAGTCCCAATCAGCATTACACCAATATCCAATTGGTACGGAGTTTACATAATTGAATGTTAATTAATTGATATGTATACATTGATGCAATAATGCATACTCTGTAATAAAAAAAATAAAAAAAAAATAAAAAAAATTAAATTGTGAGATCTTCCCTTGTTGCCAAGGTACTGACCATCTTCCATTTACCATGTCAGATTCAGTCAAATATCAATAATGTAGAAATCTTGAAAGGTGCATATGAGGTAAAAAAATTTCAATAAAATACAAGGGTCATTAACTCAATATATCACTTTTCTTTATGTTATTTGGAAAGAGTAGGGCAATTGTTGTGTACAAGATTTAGAAAATAATAATAAGTCCTCATATAGATTTAGGAGTATCATATTTCAAGACTTTAATCCTCATTTAATCATATGTTACAGAAAGAATTAATAAGTCCTCCCCCTTTTGTTTTTAGAGAATCACATATATGCCCTAAAAGGAGTATAGAAATTATTTTATGTCAAATGAGCGAAAAAAATACATTTGAATACACCCAGGTGTATGAAAGGTTCTCAAAGGAGCAGATCTTTACCTATTTTGCATAATTCTATTTAGATCACCTATTGTTATGTTTTAATGTTGGTTCACATAACTTTTTAGGATTTTTGAGTAACTTTCTATTGACAAATATATAGCAACTAACATTTGTTTAAATTCATCACTAATCTCCTTGTCTCATTGTGAGGCAGTTCGTTGCTACTTGTTAATCCATACTGCCATACTGGTATTAACTTCTGGACACAAAGTTTATGCTTTATCTATACTTTTTTTGTCCCCAATTGTTTGTCGGTTTGTTCCATTATCATTTTTTACTTTGTTAATTAGTTTTTGACAGTAAAGTTGTACGTGATCAACGTGTTATATATACTTTGTATAAAATATAGAAATGTGGCAATCTTTTAAGGATAACCTTATAAAGAATAATGTGGGACAAACACTAAGGATATAGGACAAAAAGAGTATTCCAATTCGTATTTGTTTTCATTGTATAAAATCTTGATTTTTAGAACATACACTATAGCAATTCAACATTTTTTGTAAAAATCTATTAAAGGAAACAAAAAATTAGCAAAAGGAGAGTGATATGTCATATGTGGGAACTATGTACGTAGTACTTATGTTACTCTATTTTATAAGGTTGGGTAACATAAAATGGAATATATATACACTACAAAACATGAAGAAGAAATTAAAAGGGCCAAATATTATCACAAGTCATTTCATATGCTCATATACTTGGTATATAATACTAAGATAGATGGGACTCTTCAATGGATCATAGATGTTGTTGTGATCTTGTTAAGTTCCTGTAGATCGATTGACAAACCACTGACCAATAATATGTTGTCGCTTTTACTGTTTTACGTTCATATTAATTGGTCTAGAAATTATGGATAAAACGTACGTACACCACGACCCTTTGTATAATATAAATATATTTTCCTTTTACTTCTATTTGATTCATGCATGCATATTTCAGTATCATGCACTTTTAATTTATATAGTATGCACATAACGTATTCAATAATAAATTTGCATATGCTTTAAAATAACAAGAAGAAAAGAAATGTATTTAATATAATTGGAGATATCATATCTTAGTATTTTATTTAATTATATAGCTATTAAAAAAATAACTATAGTGGTGTTTAATTTAATTTCAAGGTTTAATAACAATATGATGTAAACCCCAATATGAATTGGATCATAATTAAAAATTGATGATATTTAATTCATTCAATCAATGTGATGTAAAGATGAGCACAAAATAATATACATACTCATAGTTAAGAAATTGATTTATACTTGTAAGATGAACATAAAATAATATACATATATACTCATAGTTAAGAAATTGAATAATACTTATAAGATGAACATTAGAACATATATACACACATTAAACATTGTTAGAACATAATTAGGCTGTAATAATTGTTATTTAAACTTATAAGATATATTTTTGATATATAATAATGTACAACATATCAGAATAAGAACGAACAATTACTAGATCTATGTATTGTAGTCAATACAACTAAAAAGAAAAAAGAAAAAAAAAACATGCATGGATTAACTCACTCATGAGTCATAACCAACCTTACTTGCATTGCATAAATAATGAAAAAAAAAACTCTTACATTGCTAGCTAATGTATTTATGGTTGAAATAACTTATCTCCACATTTGCATTTCCATGCTAGAAGATAATAACTATCATGATTATTATCCCCATAATGATCATCATATGATGTAAACGAGATTAAATCTGTCATCTGATGGCGAGGAGGAACAACAAGTGTGGCGACACAAGGATTGCAATTCAAGCACTTGTTAACACAACTAGGAGGTCTAGAACCCAACACCGGTTTTTTGCTCAGCAACTCTTTGCTAGACAAATTCATCTCTTTCTCATCTACACCATTAAACAAAAATAACAAACATAAATCAATAACATAGATATGAACATAAATATATACTCTATTTTTGAACATTAATATATGAACTAACATACACTTACCTGATCTGGAAGGTAAAATAATCAGAGAAATAATAATTGTAGCAGTAACAATTAATTTTATCCTATGTAGTAGGGTAATTGTTGATGGAGCCATTATATTTGAGTGAGTCTAGGAATTGAAGTGAAGAAAAAGACGTTAAAAAGAGGAAAGAGAAAATAGGGTTTTTTTTTTTTTTTTTTTTTCTTTTGGTTATTTTGGGATTAGAGGAGCAGAAGATGATGAAAGTAGAGTATATATTATGAATGTTGGAGAATTCAGTTTAAGGGTTTAAGGCTGTTTCCTATAAGAGAGACAATTGCTATGATCGATATGAAAGTTTTAGTTCTTCACTATTTTACTTATTAATGGACCATTGACTCAATAATCTAAGTTTTCAGTTTTTTTGACTTATTATTTGTGATTTTGGGAATGTGTTACTTTGATTTTAATGGCTGGCTTATTTGTGGGAATCATGATTAATTGACTCAAGTTTGTTTTTTTTTTTTTTTCTTTTTTTTTAAGACAAAAATAAAAGTAATTTAAAAGATTTACATTGGTCTACTTTGTGTGTGTATGTGTGTGTTTCCGCTTTAAGAAGCAACCCATTAATCCGTAACCTAGCTCACATGCAGTGGCAGATCTAGTGGTTCAAATATAACAAGGCATCATGCAAAACAATTTTGTAAACTAGCAATGTGTCCCCTTAATAGGGTACCTTGAACTTATTATACTAATCACAATTCACAAGTGTATGTACCTAGGAAAGATTAGAATGCATGGAGGTCAAACACTTTGAGCATACGAATATAAGATGGATTATACAATTACTCATAATATAATGAAATCTATAACACCCCCCTTCTTTTACATTAGGTGGGACTATTGTATGTTTTGTGAAGATAATTACCATATGTGAATCGCCACATTGAAAAGAAGAGGAACAATGATTAATATATAAGTTATTCCTTTTTAATACCAATTAGGTTTAGGATGCAACCCTACTGAAATTGAAGGATGTGGTCAAATTCATCTCTAAATTGGGTTTGGTTAGCCCACTCAATACTTTTCATGTAACATTTAATAAACTCGGAATATGTACTAAGAATTATACGCACACTACTACAAAAATGGCCTAAGGAACCACTCTAAAGGCACCGTATAATTAAAAAATCCGGTTTCTTAGATAAAGAAACCTCATTTGAGAGAAATTCGCTTTCTTATGTAAAAATAAGAAACCATATATATTTTAAATATGGTTTCTTAGATTCTAGACTATATTAGATATTCAAAAAATCGTAAATCTTACTATAACATAGGCAATAAATAAATTGAAAACCTAATCGTGTAAATTAAAAACCACCCACCTTCCCCTTAAAATGAGTAGCCGTTTCCCTTGTAAACTTCATCTAGAATCCCAGTACCTCTATAATTCATTTCCCGTCGTCCTCAATTTCTTAAATTCTCTTTTTCTCACCGTCAAGTTCTCATAATTCCTTCGTATTCGTCGTCGCCTTCTCACCGTGACATCCGATCTACCGTCTGCGTGCTCGTTGTGCCGTCAAATTGACCGTCATCTGTACGCCGTTCCTTTGATTCATCAATGTTTGCTCATCCATTAAACTCGGTACGAATACTTTTTCAATCAATTTTAATTACGTAGTATGTTTCATTGACTTATTTTGCTTTCCATTTCAATTTCGGTTAATTTGTGACTATGTGCATATAATCAGTATCTATTCTTATGTTGTGAACGGTTTATTAATCAAGCTGCCTCATCGAATTTTTTCTAATTACAAGCCTCATTGAATTTTTTCTAATTACAAATCTGATTTGAATAATAACTGATGATATATAATTATATGCTCTTTAATTTTGCTGTGAAATGAATCTAAATATGGCCAAGTCATGTTTGCAGTTGAAGACTTGAAGGAAGTAAAACGAAGCAGATTAATGCTAATACATTGAATAGTTTCAAGGAGGAGGTTGTATTTATAGTGTATGCTAATGTAATTATTATGCAATTTTTTCTTTTATTGTCACAGAATATTTTTATGAAATAGATGTATTATACTTCGTAATTTCTTTATAATAAAGATCTTGTAAATTGTAAAATATGAAATTGATCATTCGTCCTTTTATAATAAAGATACTCCATTGTTAATTTTAGTCCTGGATGTAGCAACAAATTTGATCTAGTAACATTATTATATTTCTTTTTTTTAAAAAAAAGAACAACAAAGAGACCGGACATCTATATACATTGGTCTCTTTTACTTTATCAAAGAAACCGGTAGAGCAAGGATGCACGATGCCTTTGTCTCAATAATTTAATTCACTTAGAAGGACCTAAGAGACCGGTTATTAGCTAGAACTGGTTTCTTTGATTAATCTAAGACACCAGATAGAAAATACGGTCTCTTAATCAAAGAGACCTACTACCTAGGCACCAGACCTTTTGCGGTTTCTTAGCCCTATTTTGGCCGATTTCTTAGCCCTATTTTGTAGTAGTGGTAGTATATAACCCCTATGCCCTACTTTCAAAGATAATACTCCATAATCATATATCATAAATTTAATTTGATAATAGATAGAATAACCTATTAGCCTTATCATATGTCAAACCTAACCCTAACCTCCAAATTGACTGGAATAAATCCAAAATGAACCAAGATGCGATACACAAGGGCATGACTCTAGAAAAAATTGTTTCTCTTATGACCCGATCAAAACTTGTCCAACATTCCCAATTTGAACTTTTGAAGTATTACCTCCGTTAACGGTTATTTGCAACATTTGTCATTTTCGGATGCTATCTATTATGTGCAACAATTTTTTTTCTTTCCATTTTTAGTAACTTTTTGCCAACAAAATGACCATATTACCCTTACTTAAACAACTTAGACATCTAATTAAATTACTATTATGATTTAACTCTTTACCTAATGAATCTGATTATTGTAATCAATTTCACCAAACATCAAAACCATTCATCTCCCTAACTCTCCTTCAATTGAAAAATCTCTAGAATTCAAACCTTAACTCTACAATTTTGTTCATCTTCCCCCTTCTCTCTCCTCTTGCGATTTGGGTTCGTCTGGCCGTAGGTTCGATTTCGTTGGTTTGGTCGTGGGTCCGAGTTCGTGGGTCTTGTCGTGGGTCTGGGTTTGAGTTTGTGGGTCTAATCGTTGATTCGAGTTCGTGGGTTTGGGTATAGGTGGTCGTGGGTTTATGGGGGTTGCGTGAGTTTCGTGGGGATGGGTTTCAGATCTGGTGTGTGGAGGTGGCCTGAGTTTCGTGGGGGTGGTTCGTGTGGGGGTGGATTGGGTTTCGTGTTGGTTAATTTGTTGGGTTCGTAGTGGTTTAGGATGGGTTGCGGTGGTTTGTTGGGTTCGTGGGTGGTTTGTTAGGTTCGTGGTGGGTAATCCTGGGCACCGTGCCGTGCCGGGCCGCCGCGGGCCGTGCCTGGCGGGCCGCGGGCTGGTTCGTGCCGTGCCGGTCGTGCCGGCGGGCCTAGGATTTCGTGCCGTGTCGTGCCGGCCATTTTCACAGGCCAGCCCACGGCACGGCACGGCCCTCGTGCCTGGCGGGCTCGTGCCGTGCCGGCCACGTGCCGGGCTGCGGGCTGGCCTGCGCGGGCTGGTGCATTTTCATTTTTTTTTTTTTTTTTTTTTTTTTTTTTTTTTTTTTTTAATGACAACATTATTAATTAATAAGTTTATAATGTATATAAGTTATAAAATTATAATTATAAGTTTTATAAGGTAACTTATAAGTTTATAACTTATAAGTTATAAGTTATTAAGTTATGAATTTTATAATTATAAGTTGAATATTTATGTTTTATAATTTGTATATTCAATATTTATATTTATATATTTACTTTATACTATTACTTTAAAATTTAATGTTTATGATTTATTAGTAATTGGTATAATTTTATTTTTTTTTAATATGAATTTACAAATTGTAACAAAACGGGGAAAAAAGGCAAATTGGACTTTGGATGTGAATAATGCGTACTTTATATTATTATTACTTGAGTTGAGAAAATTGTACAATGATAACAATGATAAAAATCATACAATGATGGTATTAAACAAAAATTGGAAAATGATAAAATTGATATTTTTAAAATCGTACAATATACAATAATTGTCTATTCTTCTTCTCCTTCTTCTTGCTCGTCTTCGTCTTCGTCTTCGTCTTCGTCTTCGCCTTCGCCTTCAAGGTCATCGGCTAGTTGCATAGATTGGGAACTAGCCGAACCCGAACCGGAAGCGGAGGTTCCTTCTTCGTTGTCGTTGTGGTCGTAAGAACGGTCTTGTGAGCGATTTTCCGCATCCAACCAATCTTTGAAACACACGCACATTTCTAGTGTTTCGGGTTTTAGACTTGTTCTTCTATCGTCTAAAACCCTTCCGGATGCGCTGAAAGCTCGTTCGGAGGCGACAGAGGAAACTTGGATAGCAAGAATGTCTCGTGCCATTGCCGCCAAAGTTGGATGCTTCGAGCTTTGTTGTTTCCACCATGCAAGGAGGTCGAGGCTGTTTATCTCATCGTCGTCCATGCCTTTGGTGAAGTCGTAACTCAGGTACATCTGCAACTCCGAGACGTCGCTTTGCGTTCTCCTGACTGATGAATCACCTGAAAACCTTGAAATCAAGTTAGTAGCTTGTGAAAATAAATGTTTGGCCTTCTTACTTACGTTTTTGGATGGTTGAGAAGGCCCTGAGCGAGGAACGGTGCCATATTTGGCTTCATAGACTCTATATAAAGCAAAAAACTGATCCTTCACATTAGTCTTATAGTTTTCTACATCATCGTCAAGAAACATGCATTGAAAGTAAATGTCAACTAACATAAATGTGTTTTCATACTTTTGCCTAGGATCTAATATGGAAGCAAAAATATAAATCAAAGGAATCTGACTATAATATTTACGCCACTTTTTTTCCATTGCTGGAAGATACTGATCATAATCACTTTGATCGCGATGATCAGCGAAAAGTTGGGCGAGTAAGCATGCATTAGAAAGAAAGTTTTGAGCACAAGGATTGTAAACAGTAGAAAAACAATACGTCATGTTATATAATAACTGTAAAAATTGCATATAT